GCTGAACATAGGCCTCCCCCAAGTAATGCCACAAAGCACGATCCTGAGCTACCTGCATCCATCGACTTCCTACATGTCTTACCAGGTCGTCACTCCATCTAGTGGGGGTCGCCCTACACTACGCCTACCGGTACGAGGCTGCCACTCGAGAACCTTTCTTCCCCATCGGTTATCGGTTCTTCGAGCTATATGGCCGGCCCATTGCCACTTCAGCTTACTAATCCGTTGGGCTATGTCGGTCACTCTGGTTTCACTGCGGATATCCTCATTTCTGAGTCTATCACGCAGAGAAACTCCGAGCATCTCTCCATAGCTCGCTGAGCGACCTTGAGCGTCCTCATACGGCCAGCAGTGAAGGACCACGTCTTAGACCCGTAAGTCATCACTGGCAAAACGCACTGGTTGTAATATCAATGGCACGAGAAGATGTGTCGTAATTTCCCGAACGCTGCCCAGCCGAGTTGAATCCGTCGATTGACCTCTCGGTCGAAGTTGGACTTACCTAGTCGGACTATTTGTCCCAGGTAAACGTACTCGTCAACAACTTCGAGCATAGTGCTCCCTACAACTACCGGCATAGGTGTGAGATGGACATTGAACATAATCTTTGTTTTGTCCATGTTCATATTAAGACTTATCCGTTGGGAGACACCATTGAGGTCATTGAGCATAGTGCTTAAGTCCTCCAGCGATTCTGCCATAAGGACTATATCGTCGGCAAATCGAAGGTGAGTGATGTACTCGCCATTGATGTTAATACCGTATCCTTTCCAGTCCAGTAGCTTGAAAACGTCTTCCAACGCAGCGGTGAAGAGTTTCGGGGATATAACGTCACCCTGTCTTGCACCTCTCTGCAGTTGGATGGGTTTCGAACTCTGGTTCTGTACTCGGATAGCCATCGTAGCCCTACTGTACAAGCACTTCAGCACCTCGATATACCGACAGTCAACTTGGCACCGCTGAAGGGACTGTAGCATCGCCTAAATTTCGACAGAATCAAAGGCTTTCTCATAGTCCACATACGCCAGGCAAAGTGGCAGATTGTACTCTTCGGTCTTCTGTACAATCTGCCGCAGGGTATGTATGTGGTAGCCTTTTCGGAAACCGGCTTGTTCGGGAGGCTGGAAGTCGTCGAGTCTGCGTGCAAGACGATTCGTAATGACTCTCGAAAACAGCACGTAGACGCGGCTCAGAAGGGAAATCGGTCTGTAGTTCTTCAAGAGAGCGTTGTCGCCTTTCTTAAAGAACAAGACCACCGCACTTCTGCTCCACGCCTCCGGAGTAGTGCCACCATGGAGGACGGAATTGAAGACCCTCTGAAGGACTTGAAGTACCGGCGTTCCACCCGCTTTCAGAAGCTCCGCTGTAATTCCATCCTCGCCTGGGGCCCTGCCGTTTTTAAGGTGCTGGAGAGCCATTCTAATCTCGCTCAGACTGACGTCCGGGATATCATCGGAATAGTGTCGGGTAAGACTTGCTCTTGCATCGTTACTCACACTTGCGTGTGGCTCCAACGATGATGTGTACAGCTGCCCATAGAACCTCTCAATCTCACTCAAAATCTCGGGTGTCCCGGGAACGACTCAGTCTTCAGCTTTGACAGTTTGCTCTTTCTGGCAGACAGATCTCTGGCAAACACTTTGGAGCCCTGGTTCCGCTCGATCGCTTCTTTAATACGAGCAGTACTAAAGTTGCGTAAGTCTCGCCGCATGCATTTGGAGATCTGTCTGTTCAGTTGCCTGTATGCCGTCAAATCTGTTGACGATTGCAGCCTCATCTCCCGTCTAACAGCAATGAGATTAAGAGTGTGATCGGAGAGTTTTTGTGTTCTTCTGCGGCGGGTCTTGCAGAACTTAGCTCCGACCGCATGAACATTGTCCACGAGCTTGTCATTCATATCGTCCACTGCATTGCAATCTTCTAGGCACTGAAAGCGTTTACGTAACTCGAGCTGAAAAGTCTCGGGATTCTGGATTAGAGCACGAGGGGGACGGAGCGTTGACTTCATTAGACGAGACCTCTCCAACTTAACGTTTAGGTTCAGTGTGCCTCTAACCATTCGGTGATCGCTGCCGGTTTTCACACTTGCGATCACTGAGACATCACTGAATAGTTGGCTTCTCGTCGTCATAATGAATTTAATCTCATTTTTTGTCGAACCGTCGGGGCTCGACCAGGTCCACTTCCTGTGGGGCCGCTTCTGGTAGAAAGAGTTCATCATAAAGAGTCCCTCTTTCTCCATAAAGTCAGCCAGCTGCTGGCCCCTACGGTTCCGTTGCCCTACTCCAAATTTCCCTAATTTCAGCTCACCGCCTTCTCTTGTGCCTAGTTTTGCGTTGAAGTCTCCCATCAACATCGTGTGGTGGGTTTTGGAGAAATGCATGGCTCTAGAAATATCCTCATACATTTCCTCCACCTCCTCATCGGGATGTGCCGAGGTTGGTGCGTAGCCCTGTATGACCTTCAGCGAATACCGTTTGGTGATTCTGAGTATCAGGTACGCGAACCTCGTCGCACATCCCAATCTTTACAACGTTGTTGACGAGAGACTTGTGGACAATAAATCCGACACCTCCTTGGGACTGATGGTCGCCCTCCCGGTGATAGAACAAGTTGCCGAACTCGAGGATTACCGTGTCCTCCCCCTCTCTTCGGACCCCAGATAATCCAATAATATGCCAGCGCAACTTGTCTACCTCTTCTTTCAGCTCATATCTTCTCGTCAGTCCTCAGGGTGCGTGCGTTATACGTTGCCAGGTCGAGTCGTCGTAGGTGGCAACCGAACCTCCACAGGAGACTCTTAGCACCCCCTGCCCCGCCGTTACCATGGTCGCCACCGTAGCCAGGAATAGCGGGGCCGCCGGGAACTGGGGGCCGTTTGTTTGTGTCGTTGCTCATGGGGGGGATATTTGCCACAGATGCCACGCTTGGCGAGCGGGTTGGCAACCGCAGTTTTTTATTATGTTATTGTTGTTATTAGAAAACGCTGCCCATCTCCTTTCTGTATCCCTCTGTCGCCTCTTACGACACCCACGGGAAGATATGGGGTAGTGGATATTCTCAACCGCCACTACACGGCAAACTCTTTTAATTCGCATTATTATTATTACATCATATTTTTCAGGGACAGACTGTCCTCAATCATTGGTTTCTGGTGGATTTCTTTGGCGATTTGGTTTCGGATTAGTGATAAGGATAACACAGCATTTCACAGTTCAAATAGCATGGATCAGTAACATCATGACAGTTGACAGTTAACGTCTAAACGACATCCATAGAGTAGATTAATATATACAGAAAACGACATCTATCAGCCATTAGCGTTGCATTTTTGGTGAGAATAAAATATTAATACCACTGAAATAAAGGCAAATTCGTGAATTTGTGTAATCAAGAGTGGTTTAGTATTTTATTTTAATTTGTTACCCTACTAGTACAAATCTAGGCCTGCGGCCTACAATTTTGGACCGTCTACTGTATATAGTAGCCAATAGTAATAATAATAATGTATTTACTGTATTGTATTAAGTGTGTAGTATAGCTAGGTATACGAAAAATATTAATTGTTCCATCTGACTCCATCAGAGGCAGCACATTCGTCTCTATTTCAGGTATACAAAAAGTACTCTGTGGATATGTGGTTTTATCTTGTAGGTTACTCAGAAAAGCTAGAACCCAGGGCCGTAAGCCAGTTAATAAAAAATAATAATCTTGTAGGTTACAAGCAGTGTTGCTGTTTTAGCGACTTTCTCGCTAGATCTAGCGGATTTTAACAATGTTTATGGGATAAAAAAATCGTTTTAGCGAGAAATAATTATTTAGCGACTTTTAGCGACATTTGGACCTTTGAGATGGCGATTTTTTCATAAAGTAATTCATTTCAAATGTCATTTATTTTATGTCCAGTTTTGGAATCTACCGTTAGTAACACTGTACATATAATATAATTTCATGGAAATTCCCAATCATAAACTAACAATTCAATGTCGTTCATTCACTTTCATCTGTTTCGACATTCAAAAATGCAACAGAAGTAAACATATTTGAAGATTTATGTAATTTTGCAATAATAATATTATCACTACTGCATTCAAATGCAGAATTTGAACGCGTATTTGGTGCTATGAATGTAGTTAAAAGCAAACTGCGAAACAAGCTATCAGAAAAAACTTTTAGATTCCATTCTTCTGATTAGAAATCAGTTAAGGATAAAAAAAAGAGTTGCGCAACGTATGAAGATGTTGTCAACCAAGTCGGTAAAGGCAAACCAAAGATGGAAACTGGAGACATTGGCGAAGCTTCAACTTCCGCTGAAGTTCTTTTTGAAGATCTGGATCCATACTTCACTATTAATTTTGAAATTTAGGTACAAGAACGTACTGAGCTAATTGTTTTATTTTTAATAAGATGACTGATATTTAAACGTGGTTTAAAGATTTATTTTTTTTACAATATTGTATTATTTTGTACATGAATAATTTTTGCTTTGGTTGTCATGTCATTAACATACACTATAAATAACTGATTTATATGAAATAGAGTCCGCTCTTTTTAAGGTTTTTCTGAATTTATAGATTTAGATTTTCGGTATTCATTGTATACCATTTGGCAGGATTTTTCAGTTAGCCCAATGGTAGTATAAAAATATACCTAGGGATATCTAGCGGATTTTAAGAAAAAGAAAAATCCTGTTTCTGGCGGATTTTTTTCTGTTAGTCTAGGGACTTTAACATTTGTAGAACGGCAACCCTGGTTACAAGCACAGATCTTTCTGTATATATTACTCTACTCTATGCACAGATTACTAGTTACAAGACAAGTTACAATACTGCTTATTTTAAATATTATTCAATATCTCTATTATTTTTAATAGTATGTTTTAAGATAACACAATATACGAAGTTTACGTTTATCTTTACTTTTAGATTCCCTTATTATGGACGAATATTTTCAAAATTTTGCGTAAAATACTATTTATATACTTGACAATGTTCGCATAGTGGTCTAATTATTTATTTATTACAATGGGGACAAGAAGTTTATCAAAAAAAGAACTAGAAGAGCTTCGTAAAAAAGAAGAAGAGGAAGCCGCAGCTCATGTAAGTAGAAACTTCAGTACATGAAAGCTGATTAAAGTTACATAGAGCCTTATAGAATATTGTATGGTATTTATTTGTGGTAGAAATGCGTCTATAGAACATATAGAACTTTGTTGATTATAATTTTAAATATTGTAAAGTCAGTCAAAACATCTTTAAATAAGGTAATTAACATTATTTCTTATTTGCTTTTCATTGAACTATCGGCGGGAGAGCCCATAAGATTCTTTCACTTTTTGGTACTATAAAAGCAGTGTTATATACATATTCTCAGCGCGTGGTTAATAGTTCACCAGTAACAGCTCTAGGCTAACTATGAATATGCGCACTTCCGGCCTGTGCCTGCCCTGTCTATAAATAATTACTAGATTTTTTATTTTACTTGATTTCTACCTCACAGTTTCGCCTACATTAAATCCAATTTTTCCATGTGATTAAGTTACTTCTCAGTGGTAAAACGTTTTTATTCAGGATGCAGTCAGTCTCTCCTTGACTTATTGAAATCTGTTTAGCTGAGGTAAAAAGTTGAGAGACAGTCAGGGGATATGCAAGGGGCTTTGAAGCTGCTATGCTTGGTACTAGCATTCAGTTTTGAAATGATACACATGCCTTTATCTGGTATGTCAGTTTCCTCAGAAATATTTATGACATATTAAATAGTATTCCAATACAACTCATGATAGTAATAATTAGAGATGAAATGGATATCTAGTAACTATCTGGTATTCGGCCTATCGGATTTTAAAAACAACCACAAAATATCAAATTTATTTAGGTACAGTTTCATTTATTACGGCCTTGGTTGTAGCGACCCTTTACCTATAGCAATATTAAATCTAAGTCCCTTGAATTAAAAGTATACTTTAGTACAAAATTCATATGGCTAGGATGTAAGGCCGAGTTTTGTAACAAATTCCTAGAAATCCTATGCAGATATGGTGACCGGAGTCGGCTGCCAAAGACACAAAGATTTCTTACTTTCACAAACATTTCTTATCTTTTGTTTATGTGTACAGATGGTCAGTAAGTGTGGTAAGGTGTGAGACCTTTAACTTTTGTTTATAGATATCAGCTATGTAGATGCATGCATTGCATGCATGCATGTACATTACTGAGTTAACTTTATGGTTCAGTTACAAAGTGATGTTTTGAGTAGCATTTTGATATGTACCAGTGAATAACTATGTGTGCAAATATTTTCAATAATAAATGAATATCAACTATATACATGTGTATGTGCCTGTATCTCTTTGCCATTGCCTGTAACGACCGGGTATAGCGATAAAAATAGAGTGGTCCCTTCATCCTCGTTATACCCAAAATCTACCGTACTTGATTTATGTCACTTAATAAATATAACCAGTAATCATAAAATTTTCATTTTAAAATGTACAAAATTAGTACTCTTACTGCGCTAAGACATAGAATATATAATGGTACTACATAGCTAAGGGCAAATTATGGTGAATAAATACTAATTTCTATGCATTGAAAGATAATGAGCGGTTTCATCTGTCTTCATAAACAAGGCCAGCTTCTGAAAAAAGTCTTTCACCATACACACTGCTGCAGGGTACTGAAAGATAGATTTTGGCGAACTTTGATAAATTTGGGTGTTGTGTAGCAATACCTGCCCACTAAATACAAGGGTCATGATCGCAGTTTGTACTGAATTTACTTTTCGCTTCTTGCAATGCATGAAACGGCAATGTTCGGCAGAATATCTGGCGGCCGGCTATCCGGCTATAAGACTGGCCGGCTATCCGGCTATAAGACTGGCCGAATATCCCGTATCCAGCCAAGCAACTATCTGTTTAATCTCTAGTAATAATGGGTGTTGCTCTGTAAACTGGTAAACACATTCTAAGGAACTTGGATAAGTAACTTAGTAGTTTATACATATATAGTAAATTAACCTTATTAAGTAAATACATAACTACCTGGTTAATAATAAACAGCAGATAAACAATTGAAATATATATGTTTTATATTTGTTAGGGGATTGTTTATTAAAATAATCATGGTAGAGCCATATTATGATTACATGCTACAGCTACAGCTATATTATGATTGCGGCATGAATGGGTCAGCTCGACCGTGGAAGGACCACATGCTCATGGAATACCAGCATAAAATAGTAAAATTTATTCATTATATTCACATAAAACAATTTTAGCTGAAACACTATCTAATGGGCTTTACACAAAAACATTTTTTACTGACAAAATATTAATTATCCTGATCAATATTTGTAGTTCCAACTGAGCACCTTTTTAATCTGACCTTTATTGTACATAGTTTCTACTTTGTATTATTTAATTTTGAAATATTAAATTAATAATAAATCTGTTTCAAATTCTTTTAAACTAAGCGTCATGGTCATTATCAACAATGTGATTTATAGTCACACCTGGATATAAGCCATAACTATTGAGGTGAATTGCAAATCCAAGTGCCACACCTCTCCTTAAATGTTACTCCTAGAACCAGTCACCACTCTGGAATATTCTTAGAAGAAATGGGGGTTATATTAAAAGGGTGACATAAAAAAATCCATTGCTCCATTTTATTCTGTTGGTATCCTTATATAATTATATGAAAGGGCAGAAAATCCTCATCTCAGATCATCAAACATGCCAAGTGATATGATAAAATTTTAATTTATGAGAAAGGTTGATTTATCAACCGATCATATGGACCTTGTGTAAAGCCTTGTATATGCATTTGTAACTAATCTTCTCAATAAGCTTGAGTGCCTTCTCAAATTGCATCAGGTTTTTTTTTTGGTCATCGAGAATATGACCACATCTCCCAATTTTGTATTTGCCTTAAATAGCTTACTATCCGAGATAGGTGCACTTTCATATATTGTCAGTTCTATACTCGATTTTAAGTAATTTGTCCTTCTCTTCCTTCCTTCAAGATAAATTTCAAATACCTTTCCTCCAACCATGACAGGGTACTTTGCTTATTAATTAATCTGAAGATTTCAGTTACTCTTCAGGCTACAACTATTCCGGAATTTCTCATCTTACGACATTAGGAAATCACAGATAAGGTAGTTTTCAAAAGATTAGTTAGGAAACCTTTTTTGATAACAACAGCGTCTATATAACATCAATTAGTACTTGCTGCCTCTATTCAGTTAAATATTACTATATGTATATATGTTGCTATTTATTTGTATATTAAATGTTTATTTTTATGTAAGAGTAAAGTAAAGTTACAGCCTATATACGTCCCACTGCTGGGCACAGGCCTACCTTCTTTTCTGAGATGGTTTTAGGACAGGGAAGTGTCCACCGTGCTGCCCCAATGCGTGTTGGCGAACTTCACATGTCTTCGAAATATTTTTTTTCTTATAACTTAGACATGCAGGTTTCCTCACAATGTTTTCCTTCACCGGGGAGCACGTGGTAAATCAGCACATTAAATAGCAATTAACAATTTCATTGGTGCCGGCAGGGATCGAACCCGGGTTACTTGCGTTCTGTTATATTTACAGTGAGCGTTAACCATCTGAGCTGCCACAGCTCATTATTCTTATGTGTTCAAATATAATCTCTTATTTTAATGTATTAAAATATAATCGGTATATTATACAGACTATAATGTATTTGTTACTATTCTATATAATTTGCTTTAGTGTAATTTTTATGCCTAATTTTAATATAGTTATCTAAGGCACCTGCTACTATCTTTCATCACAAAATGAGTAGACTTGCAAAAAATGCTAACTGGCATTAAGTCCATGCTTTGTTACCTTTATGGCTAAAACAATAAACATTTTAATTAAAAAAAAAGAAGATATATAAATGCTATCTTGAACTCAAAGTGAGGTAGGTTTGCTATGGGCTTCACTGTCGATTTGTCAAGGTCAGTTAAATTCGGTATTTTTAAACTATAATGTACTAATTTTCAGGTATTCAAAGAATTTGTGGAGACCTTTCAAGAAGTACCCAGTACCACTTCTAAGGTATGGGTGAAAGCAGGCACATACGATGCTGGCGCAAGAAGTAAGATAACAACTTTGATAGACCAAAACAATTAAAATCTAAATATGTTAATTTTGTTTAGTGTAACTTGCTATAACATTTAATTAGTCATAGACAATTAAATTTACAGAGGAAGATACATCGGAACGTGGCAAATTGTACAAGCCAGTGTCACGGCTTGATGACAAACGTGGCAATGAGGTAGAGATTTTGCGTAACTTAGCGCAAATTACACCAAGACTAGAACCCTCCTCAAGGCAAAGAGCAAAACTTAATAAAGATAAGAAGAAAAGTAATCTTGAACTTTTCAAGGAGGAGTTAAGACAGTAAGTATTCCTATTTAAAAAGATTGTGACTCACGGTGGGATATTTACTGCGGGGGATATTACTAGCATGTTAGCTATACATAAGAAACATTGGCAGGTATTAGACTAGTAACTTACATGACACAATTTAAGCCCGTGGTGTGTGCGGTTGTTTGCAGCTTCCGCTGCACGGCCAGGCAACTGGACAGTTGCGCAGGCTGCTATCGCCTGCGCTCTTTGTGGTCATAAAACACACTATAGTTAATACTGGTAATCGATCTATTGCAAATAACGCAGTTAGCCCGACCGACTTGTGATTATCACTCGCCAAATTTGCGGGTGTTACCATCTTCGCGGCGGGCACGAAACCACACAAATCTGCAGTTTCTTGAGTAAGATAAATCGGAGTTCATCTACTGCTACGGGCGTGGGTGAAAGTCGCTTCATGAGTTAAGTTTTCTTCTCTTAGCCTAAGATTAGGTTCTTTAAAAAATATACGTGGTAGAGCTACGCTGCAACTATATTATGGTTGTAGCATGAATGGGTCGGCTCGACCGGGGAAGAACCACGCTCTCACGGAATAACAGCGTAATATAGCAGCTTAATATTGCTGTATTTCGTAAGGTGAGTGTAAAGATCCGGAGACCCTTTTTTACTGGAAACGAGGCATTCCATCTTATGGCGGCTTCTCACTGCGTGTGTTATCACGCGCCGCGCCGCCCGTGTTGGTTTGTACGCGCGAGCACGCGCCAAACCGCCGCGTTTTAACAGGCGCGGCGTGGCGCGTGCTTGTCTATACTCCGAGCCACTGAGTCAGTCTGTTTAGTGCAGCACACCTGATGTCGTGTGAGTCGAATTGCCACCTCCAGCCATGGAGCAATGCCACTGAAGGAGAAGGCATCGTTGTTGCTTCAGCCGCTTTTGTATTATTTTGGGATATCTTTTACTTAATAAAATTCACAAGAAAAAATAAAACGCGCTGGTGGATGACATCGTTAAAATTAAAAACCCAGTAATCGTGTCATTAGACCACTCCATATCTATATAGACATGAGAGTACCTCAACGTCGCACGAGTTAAGACGAAATGAACGAGTTCAATCTTGTAAACACACGCTGCGCCGCGCGCTCCCGCTCACCGACGCGCGAGCCTGCGCCGCGCCGCGCTTCGCCTTTGAAGTTACCGATTTTAAACGGATAGCACGCGCCGCGCCACGCCTGCCCGCACCAAGCCTTTCACACTGCGCGTGGCGCGTCCATGCGCGGCGCGGAACGTGATAACACACGCAGTGAGAAGCCGCCATTAGTCCTCAGGTGTGACAACGCATGCATTTTGATTCTTAATTGAGGATAAATGTAGACCTCTATCGGCCACAGCATCCACTTACCATCAGGTTGACTGTGTGCTCGTTTGTCACCCTTATTCTATTAAAAAATATATAAAAGAACACCTACTCGTAAACTAGGTGATAGAACTCCTTTTCAACTTTGGAGTCTGTCTGGGTAGCTATCAAAGTCTTATCTATTTTTGTCGCCAAGTAGTAGAGCCTGCACTGCTGTTTTCCAATCTGAGGAGATATTATAGGTTTAGAGGTATTACATCTTAGTCTTCAGAGGTGGAACACATCTGTAGCTTTCTTTGTTTGAAGTAGGCTGCAGAGTGCAGATGTCCATGGACTGCAATGTCCAGGTGGACTGTAAGTTCTTTTGTCTCATCAATTTTTTTAACGAAGGTAACAACACATTTTTGTTTTCAGTTTGAAGTTAATTGCTGCGGTAAGCTATTGCTATTGTTCATATTTCAATCTCTATATATAAAAATAATTTGCTGTCTGTTAGTCTTGCTAAAACTCGAAACTGGCTCGACCGATTCTCATGAAATTGTTTGTATGTGTTTGATGGAGTTGTTGAGAAACAGAAATCACCGAAGCCGGGGCGGATTGTTAATAAATATATAATTTTATTATTTATGTACCTAATATTTAGTGTACATCCTTATTTTATCGTTTTCAATAAATAGAATTCAAGAGGAGAGATCGGAGCGACACAAGTATAAAAATGTTCTACGCGAGCGCGGCGTTGTGGGTGCTGAGCCTGTATTGGACACGATGCCAGATGTCGGCTCTTACGACACCGGCGATCCTAACACTACAAACCTGTATCTTGGCAATCTTAACCCAAAGGTGAGCCTTAGAGATCTTGTAAATTAATCTATGTTTGTTCCACTCAGAGTCAGATTAATCTAAAAACTATGTGGGCACCTGCTTAGCCTGCGAAGCTCAAGGGCGCTGCCGATTGAGAAATATAAGTTTTTAGGTGAATTAAAGAGTTTGACTATAAGAGGGGGTTCTCAAAACTTGATTTGCTTTACTTACTCCGATTCTGGCCCCACAACTATTGCCCTTGCTTAATAAGTTGATTTTATAAACACTGTATGAAAAAAAAGAAATATTTGTTCAGTTTATTGTAATCTTTTTGATTTTGCTCAACAATGGAATATAATCAAAATATAACTTTTTTCCGAGAATTCAAAGAATTTTTAATGATACCAATTTAAATACAAGATTGTGTATTGGCGGTCGAATTCAGCAGTTCACTTTTAAAGTCTGTAATGGTAACGATAATGGATTTTAATAAGTCTATTCATGTTGGTGTTTGATATCTTGTACCTTTAGTTCAGCTTCCCTTCGTCGTTCTGGATATTTTGTACCTGATGTAAACGAAATGGTTATACCGCCATTTATTTTAAGCCACAAGTTCTACAATTGTTTCTAATTTCCTGTTGCATTTATTTTGATATGATAATGTTAAGTTTGTTTATATATTTCCCCTTTTTTTATTGCAACTTTATCATTTTCGTTATAAGAGTGTTGAATAAATAAATGCCTGTATGAGTGAGAAATGCTCCCTGTTTTTATGGACCATTTAATGATTGAATGTCATATATATCTGTTAATCTTAACTGATGCTCCATACAGATAACAGAGCAACAGCTGATGGAAATCTTCGGGAGGTATGGTCCATTGGCCAGTATCAAGATAATGTGGCCGCGCTCGGACGAGGAGAAGGCAAGAGGCCGCAACTGTGGCTTCGTCGCATTCATGTCGCGCAAGGACGGCGAACGCGCGCTGCGCTCTATCAATGGTACCTTTTTTGTTTATAAAACGTAACTTACAGTCCATAAGCGACCACCGGACCGTAAGTTATAAGTGAAGTCAATAGAAATGTGCTGCCAATTTCAAACAAGAAAGTGGCTAAAGATGCGTTGTCACCTCTGAGTTCGAAGACGGACAGCCTCACAGTCTGTAATTGTACTGGTTCTCTGTACCCTGCAGACCAGAATAGAGCGGTGCAAGCACTGCAATTTGACAGCAGAAATACCTACTGAAACAAATTCTTTATTTTGGATATGTGCTTATTTAATATAAAATTATTATTAGCGCCGCTCCACACTGCATAAATATCGAAGCTACAACAGGCCTCTATCATTCTTGCTACCTACGTGAAATAATTACCTAAAATGGTGACGCGCCCGGGCGAAATAACGCAGTCAGGGCTAGCGCGTTGGAGCCGATTGAATGTTAAAGTTTTTTAACGCTGTTTACGTATATAACTTTTTGTAAATATTGTTGAAATAGTTTTTGTTTAGTATATTTAATTATAGGAATAAAATAGTTCAAAAGTTTTAATGTAATTTAAGAACTATATATTATGTATATTACCCATTATTTCATAAATTTTAATATGGAAAAACGTCGTTCCTACTATAATTATTGCGTGGATAGACGCTAAATGACCAACAAAATATTGCAGATATATCATTCTTTATTACCGAAGGATTTTAAAGGAAATTATGTGTAAAGCTTCTTTTTTATGGTGCAATAGGAGGAATTTTACTTTTGTTTCTTTTGGATGGATTTATGCAGTTTGTTTATGGGTTGTTAGGCTAGGAAGCACTTGTAAAGAGAATTATAAATCCCACAGGCAAGGAGATAATGAACTACGAGATGAAGCTGGGCTGGGGCAAGGCGGTAGTGATCCCGCCGGTGCCCATCTATATCCCGCCAGCGCTGCAACAGCCCAGCAAGCCGCCGCCGCCCTCCGGCCTGCCTTTCAACGCACAGCCTCCAAAGCACCTCGCCTCTAAGGTTTGTTTTGCTAGCACATCTCCTCTGATAGATACATCTCCAACAATGTATGCCCCCGTCAACACACGCGTTTAGAAAATACCTCTAAGGTAAACCTTGCCTCGGAAAGTAACTTACCGCCAAATGGCCCTCTGAAAGAAACTCCTCTGTGGAGGTACGCCTCGCCAAGTGTCGCTCTTCGCTTAGGGGTCTTAGGAGTACCCCAGCCTTTAGGCTGAGGCATTTATTTACACTACCTACTGGTACTTACGTACATCCACGTAGGTACTTAAGTGCATTCCCTTCCTCTCCACATTTAGGTACACTTATGACTTGCACTCCCGCCATAATATTGGTATACTATGGCGCCATAATATTGGTATATAAGAAAAAGAAACTTTTGTAAAATTATTTTTCCTCGATTTTTCGCCATCAGGTAGTCTCCCAGTAGTAATCCTCAGTAGTAATGTCCGACCGAATTTCGGTTACTGCGGCCAGTCTCCGGATACTAGCCATCGGCGCAGACAGGATTATAGTGCCCAAGTGTATGCGCAAGCACAAGTGCGCCCTCTATTCCCTCACTCTCATAATCCGATGGGACGGTTAACCGACACGACCGGAGAGAGATCAGGCGCAGGACAAACGGCTTTACGTGCTTTCCGAGGCACGGGGGTGAGACACCGCCAACTTCCTTACTTCGGGCAGCTACTGAGAATTTGACAGAAAAACTCAATAATTGATTTTTTGTCCCGACTCGGGATTCGAACCCGGGACCTCATGATCTGCAGTCGTACTACTACAACCACTAGACCAACGAGGCAGTTAAAGCAGGTAGGGTTATATAATAAATATGTTATAGTGCTTGGCAGGCAAGTCAACAACCAAAGATTTTTTTTGTTTTTTAATTGTTATTTTTCAGCACAAGCCACAGATACCTATTTTCTACTTCCGATACATATACATAGCTTATATTTATCACCCGTTGACGCAAATGAATTGGAAATAACAATTATGAACCTTAAAAATAAAAAAGTTGCGGCTACGACGATATATCGACCAAAATTATTGAAAAATCTATACAGTATATTAGTGAGCTTCTTGTCTATTTACTTAATGATAGAAACTGGTACCTTTCTAGATGAATTAAAACAGCAAAAAATAAAAACCTTATTCAAAAAAGGTTCAAAATGTAATAAAGACTATAGATCTCTCTCCGGTCGTGTCGGTTTACCGTCCCATCGGACTATGAGAGTGAGGGAATAGAGAGTGCACCTGTGCTTGCGCATACACTTGGTCACTATAATCCTGTCCTGCGCCGATGGCTAGTCTTCGTTGAGGCTGGCCGCAGTGACTGAAATTCGGTCTGGAGGACATTATTATGTAGGCACCCTGTGAGAAAGCCGTAGCTAGTTGCCAGTATTTATTGGAAAATAAATTAACTTCAAAATAAAATAATTTCAGATACCGAGAGTACACCCTGGTGAACACTACCCAAGCGATCCAGAGGATCGGAAGACGTATGAACAGGTAATTAGTAATGTCTTAAGTGAAATTTAGGTTTTTTAAAAAAAAAGGGTAGTAATTTATATTGTTTCTTTCAGATATTGTCGCAGTCCATTATTAAAGTTGTCGTACCCACGGAAAGGTAAGTGTATTTACTTATGTAAGCCTTTTTAAATCTTTTTTCTTACTTTCTAAAACTACTAGTCTAACATGGGAGTTTTTCAGCAAAAAAATAAAATTATGCCCCTGTTAACGTGTTTCTTATTCCATCCCTAAATTATTGCTTGTTTATCTAAGAATTTCCAATTTTTATATATTAATTTGCCTCATATCACGTGGATTTCGTAAGAGGTGACAGAGGATTGGTACACCTCATGAACTAGGTAAAAACCCCACAGCCTGTTTTCATCATTATAATTCTAAAGTTGGCCTCTCTCGTGGTATGGCAAATCGCAGAACTAGACGCCTCGCACCTTTGACACTGCAGCACGTCCCCGTTATAGTTATTTTTCGTCTGGCGTAAATAAGATGGTTATACCGCCTATCTATCGAATGCTGTAAGATTTTTATGCCATGTTCCATAGTCGTCTCTTACGACAATCGGGGAACAAAATGGGGTGTTGTGTTCTCTCATGGCTGCTGAAGCGGCAGAAATATTACTTATTACCTACATAGACTACCGTTTTTCTCAATCGATTTGGCACATACTATAGTACAAACCTAGACGAACACCCATTTTAAAATGCGACTCAATCTTCCTAAAAAACTTTTTGAAGTAAAACTTCTTTACGCATGCTTGCACATAAGCACACTCATTTTTATTTTTTCTCAATATTGGTTGCATTTCAGAAACATCCTCATGTTGATCCACCGGATGGTCGAATTTGTGATTCGAGAGGGTCCTATGTTCGAAGCCATCATAATGAACAAGGAGATAAACAATCCATTCTTCCGTTTCCTGTTCGAGAACCAGTCGCCCGCCCACATATACTACCGGTGGAAGTTATACTCCATGCTACAGGGAGACTCGCCTAAGCAATGGTCGCTCAATGATTTTAGAATGTTTGAAGGTTAGTTGAAGATAATTTTCCTGTTTTATTTTGTGTTTATCAATGTTACTAGACTAGCCAAACCGCAGTTTTTTATTTATTTTTAGTTGTTATTAGGAAGTTGCTGCCGATCTCCAGATTTGTTTCTCTCCTTCGCCTCTTACGACACCTACGGGGTGATATGGGGTAGTGGATATTTTTACACCGCCTTTACACGGTCGTTGCTTGCTAGCTACATGACTTAATACATAATACTAAATTTGATTCGATTTAATGTTTTTTTTTATAAAATAAGGGTGTCAAACACTGACCTCTATATATACAAGTACGCTGGACTGGCTATACACCGTGACATGATGAAGCGATTTGATTTCCGCCATTTTGGCGCTGACAACAGAAGTGCACGTCCACGGAACTAATAATAGGGATAAGACAGTGTACCAAATTATATCGATAAAAATTCTATACCCTACCATACCTAAATAAATAGAATGGACTCTATGGATAGATGGACTCTACCCGTAACTTCCATTCTATTTATTTATCATATTAATATAATGTAATTATCATTCATCATCATTAAAACCCTTCACAAGTCCACCGATGAACATAGGACTCCCCTAAGGAATGCCACAAAGCACGGTCCTGTGTCGCATCGCCAATTGCCATACCAACACTCCTCTTCTCTTACGACTCCACCTCGACTACAGCAGTACAGGGAGAGGAATCTCCCCCTAGCCGCAGCCCACTAAAACACATACAACGTGGCTCGACATCATCAGGCGACCTTTCGACACTTGGCTATGGCCCTTGAGTTTGGTGGAAAATGAGGAAAGAAGAAATAAAAAAACATTCGAAATAATAATCTAGTACTTTTATACTTACTGGTACTGGTACTACCAGAAAATATTGTCGATATACTGCACTTTTTCAAAGTGGTGCAGTTCTCATGTCTAATAAAAAAGTCGTCTGTGAAATATTTGGAACAAATATGATCATTTAGTTTCAGACGCCAATTAACAATATTTGTGCTTTTAAGCCATTATTTTAGTCTAGGTTCGGTTGGAAACCTGTCAATTAATAAACATTTGATAATCGTCTGTTGTTGGCGACTTTCTTTGTTAACAGATATGGGTAGGAAAAAACATCGATAAGTATTATAGACAAATAACTCGACAACCCTATTGAATTTTATTGTTTATCAAAACTCAGTAATATATAGTCAAAGATGTTGGTATATATGATATTAAGATTAGTAACAAATTTTAAGTACTTATATTATCAAATAGTATTAATTTGTTTAATTTTTTGCTGCAAATTCACTTACTTGTGAAATGTTATACCAGTTCCCTTTTGGTAACAAGTTTTACAGACTACGCACACTCTCATTATTAATAAAAATATTCTTATTATGTAACTAATATTATACACAACCAAACAACATAAAATACTTTCGTTTTTTTTAGTTTAAAAGTTCAAAATACGGACTTATTAAATAAGACAATATAAATGAGAAACCGACTTTGACATATTATGTCAATTTAATTTTTCAAGACATCCTTTAGCGGCGCTTCAATTTGGCACAGTCATTTTCTATGGTATAGCCAGTCCAGCGTACTTGTATATATAGATGTCAGTGGTGTCAAACGAACACATAGTCCACCTGATGATAAGTGTATTTTGTGGCCCATAGACATCTACATTTATCTTCAATTAAGAATCAAAATGCAATAATAAATAATGTAGTAATCTAAAGTAATATAAGTAAATAAATTCTATCTAAAGAGGTTTACATTACTAAAGATCTGATTTTCGCGGAACATATATTGCGTTTAGATGATTCCTTGAGATGCCTTCGACAAAAAAACAATTTTATACACCTTTTGCTAAGCACTCGAAACGTCACATGTGTAAAATCAGTAAATATTAAACGCAAGAAATTCTGCAATATTATTTCCTTTAAAGAATCCGCTTAAATATTGGACTTCATTTTCAACTTATTAGGCGGCTCAGTGTGGCGGCCACCGGTGATGAACCTGTACACAGCAGGCATGCCCGACGAGCTCGTAGAGGAAGACGACGCTAAAGAGAATATTAGAGGCACCCTTTCTAACAGGTACTTACTTTATTTTTTACGGATTTGGGGATAATTTTAATTATTTTTATGGTCCATACAAGCAGACTTTAATACACTTATGCAAAGACACATTGTTCACACCCTGTTCTTAACTTAAAAGGACTATTATAAACTAACGCAAAATTGCAAAGTTTCCTCGCTGAAATTATATGTTTTTGTTCGTTGCTTGAAATAACAATTACTTGTTAAAATAGTTCGTTGTTTCTATTACAATAATAATAATAAAGCTAATTTTAGATAACTTATTTATTTATTTAGTAATAATCATTCTCCTGATGCATCTTAGGCGAAAACTCACCGATACCAGATTTAGGAGCATTATTTTGTAGATTCTATTGAATATATTATACTTTTATAATAAATTATACTTTATACGCAAATACATTATACTTTTATAATAATTAATACATTTTCATTACATGCCCTTTATGTAAAGTAAAAAAAAGCTGGACCTAATTCAATATTCGACCGAAAAAGCTTCGAAACAAGCTTCAATATCTACGAAGTTCTACATCATTTTGACGTTGTTGTTTGTTATTAATAACAAAATAATCTTCAACATTTGCGTAAATTATACTATTAGTATTACTTTTCAAATCGCTAATATTTTTATAAGTACTATCTATATATTTCACTGCGCCAGCGATCTGAGCTTGTATCACGCTTGTCGAGGACGATTTATGTCAGTTCATTTCGCGCGCTTCGATTCGATACTATCGTTGTGTGCGTCGATTGTCGTATAGACGCTGCTGTTGTGTGCGTGCTAGAACATCGTAAACCCAGTTTTGATCAGAAAAGCTCGATTAATGCCGTTGCGGGAAATATTTCTCTAATTTAATTTTTAATAAATTTTTCTAATTAAAAATATTGTAATTAATAAAATGAGGATTAGTCACATTAGTGTATGTTTTTCAATTGCAATAATTGATAAGTCCAAAAGACACTCTTGACCTAGTGTATATTCTCAACAAAGTTTAAAAGATTATACCTATTCCTCGCCGATTAGCGCTTTAATACAATATTCAATTCATCACAAGGAGCATTATTATCCTCCATTTTCAATAAAAATCTTTGAAAAAGCATACATTTTCAACAGATAACAAAAACGAACAGAGTAGCGCCAGCTATACGTTTGCACATTTCAATGTGAAGTGAACTTGCAAACGTATAGCTGGCGCGCCCCCGCACTCGGAAACAACTTCTTGCAAAACCCGGCTTTTGGTTCCACAGTAATTGCTATATAAATATTTCGTAGTTATTTTTCATTATAGAACATTTTGCCACAGATTAGAAAGGGAGCGATCGTCTTCTCGAGAGCCCGCTAAAAAGCCCACGCGTGCGAGAGAGACAACTAATCGCTCAAATCAACTCCTTGCTTTCATTAATTTTGACAGTCCATTGCGTGTTCGCTTTGAGACAGAGAGAACACGAATCAGTGTATTTCGAATTGAAAGCAAACTGCCAAGTGTTGACATTACATAATAAGGCTACGAGGTTATGACCTGTGTAGAACAAAGTGTATGGAAGTAATGTCAAAAATTACTTTAACGAATTTCGAAATGTAAGCAAATGAAACTTTTAAATAATATAAATAGCGCGAACTATAATATTCGCCTTTAAATTTAATCTTGAGTATGGGCGATTTTCAGACCACTATATTATGGATGTCAGATAACATTCTATTACTACGCGAGAATTAAATGATTTATTTATACTTATTTCAACACTGAAATTCTTAAATAATTAAGAATGTATGAAAACAAACCATCCACCGAAATCTATCCCAAGAAACTTATATTACGTTGGATCAAGATCGTTTAGTCGCTATACTCACCGTATCATAGTACGAGCCAGTGAATAGATATGAAAGAAAGTATCGCTCGCGTAGTTCACCGCCCGCTCGGTGCGTAAACTACCTAAATTTGCATAACGTCGAAATGTAAGAGGGTTCTTAAGCTTTAGTTTCCTCCAAAAGCGGTGGCGTCATAAAGCGGACGCAATATGGTCGCCATAAAAATACGGCCGTAGACCTGTGGAATGTTCGAGACTGACAGCTCTTATGACTGAGAACAGACCACAAAGTGTCAACGGTTGCAAATGGACGACATTGATTTAGCGTTACTCGTATATTCGGAATATGAGCAATCATCAGAATACGAAAATATTCGTATTGGTGAAAGTGATTTATACAAAGCTCGTACTACAAAAGGGGCTTTTGAATTAAGTGCTTCGTCGTCTGCATTGCAATGATGAAAAGTTAACGGAATACTTTCGTCTTACACCAGTCTTATTTGATTATGTATTAAATCACATAAGAGATGAATTAAGTTATAATCCCAACAACAAACGTCAACAGCCAATATGTCTGGCACGAAAATGATGTATACTTATATTAGATAAGTCCATAAAACAAACAACATATTTTTAATGTACATCTTTATTGAAATTGAATGTTATCCTATGGTTTATATTTGGCCTTGGTCATTTAATGCAATTGTATGTTATCCTGTGGAATGAAATATATTTGCCCTTGCTCATTTAATGCAATTGTAGGGACTGGACGTAAAGGAACTTAACTAGAACCTGTATTCGTTCTTGGTGTAGGAATTGCTAATTCGGAATAATCAGTATCAGTACTACTACTAAAGGCTGATGAACGCATTGACTTTCGGAATAGTAACTACGACTTGTGCTGGGCCTTGGTGAATTCATTGGATCTGAATCGATAGAAATATAACGCAATTCTGCATTACCAACCAATGACCCAATTTGCATTCTAAGTTGTGCTTGTCCGTACCTTGGCAGCTTCTTAACAATTTTTGCCATGGAGCTGAAAAAGAGGTCAGTTTCATCTAAATCATTTTGGGGAGATGGTTTTCTGTTAACTATTTGTTTTAATAAATTCAAACGTTCCTGAGCTTGCGTATTATTTTTCCGTTTCAGGTTACTCTTCATATTTCCATCTTCTTTGCACTTTTTATTAATATCTTCATCATTATTACTATTTTCTTTACTATTTTCATTATTATAATATGTATCAGTAGCGATATTTTCTTCTTTACTAAATGTCACATTCTCTGTTTCCTGATTTTGGAATGGTGTTTGTTCACTGCTATGCTGAGTATTTTCTCCTGGGTGTTCAATTACGTGAGTAATGCTGTTTCTCTGCGAAGAAGGAATGCTGTCTAAGAACGATAGAAGATTGGATATCTTTTTCGCTGCTTCTCCACTTGAACCAGTACCAGGTTTTCCTTTTCGTCGAATGTAATAGTCATGAACATAGCACCGTCTTTTTTTTGCAATCAGTATCTACATGAAACTCAATTTTAATAATAACAATATTTTTCATTACAGACTCTTGGCTACAGACGAGTCTTTTTGGTCACTTGCGTTTCAGTATCGAGCTTGATAAATGTCATAATAAATGAAGTCAGTGCGGTCATTGTCAAGAAACTGTTCCATTTAATTATACCATCGCCAACGGAAAATGAACCAAAAAATACAGTGACCAATATTTATCCAAATGAAATTTTCCTAATTGCGCAGTTGCGATTGATGGTAAACATGTCAGATTGAAAGCTCCCAAAAACAGCGGATCGTTATACTATAATTACAAGGAATACTTTTCTATGGTTTTGCCGATGCGAATTATAAATTCATTGCCATTGACGTTGGTTCTTATGACAGAGAAGGAGATGCTGCCATTTTCTTACAAAGTAATATACGGAAAAACATAAGATATAATACATTCAATATACCAGCACCGAAAGCCCTGCCCTGAACAAATAATATTATACTGCATGTTACATTGAAAGACGAAGCTTTTGCTCTTCTCGAAAACCTGATGAAACCCTATCCAAGACAGCAATCAATACGTGATTCATCAAAAGCTGTATATAACTATAGGCTGTCTCGAGCTCGAAGAACCACTGAAAATGCATTTGGCATTTTCTATGCTTTTTTTAGACTGTTTTTCGTACCTATTGCATATACAGGGTGTTAGTGTAAACACCGTTATCCTTGAAACCAATGGTTTGGTTTCACTTATAGAACGTAAATTCAATGAAAAATAACATTTCTTTTAGTAAAATCTCAATTTTTCCTTAATTCTTAATAAGAAAAGTTACATCACAGGTTATGTGTACCTATTGTGTTTTTATTGGAATGTTGTGTAGGTAGCTAGCGCGGGCGGTGATCTTTACAGTGATTAGCTCACTTGGGCGCATAGAATATCCATGAATTTACGGATGGTGTCGGACAGAAACTTTTTAAATTTTATGAATGAAAATAGCGTTTTTTTAATTCATTGAATTTACGTTCTATAAGTGAAACCAAACCACTGGTTTCAAGGATAACGGTGTTTACACAACAACCTGTATTGCATATAAGTATAATGCATGCACTTATATGCACCTATTGCATATGAGATCATGTATTCTACATAACATATTACGAGAAGCAAAAGTACTAGCTCCTGGTCAAATCATGTTGATGTTTACTCCATTACCTGATAAAAATTTGATACCTATGGCAGACCACAATGTTCGAGCCAGAGCTAATCGCACTCAAATTCGAGACCAGTGGCGAACTGGCCTCCATAGAAGCCGAGAAGCCAGCTTACCCTTTCAAATTGCTCAATCAATAATATCCACAAATAAAAGAACTCGTAAACTGTTTTAAACTGTTTCAAATTTCCCGCGCACTCCTTTGTTCTACACAGGTCATGCCCTCGTAGCCTTAGCGATACTGCTGTCGTAAAAAAGGAGTTGAATTTGTCGTCTCTCTCGCACGCGTGGCCTTTTTACCGAGCTTTCGAGAAGACGATTACTCCCTTTCTAACCTGCGGTAAAATGTTCTATAATGAAATATAACTACAATTGTATATAAAGCAATTAGTATAGAGAGAAAAAACCAGGGTTTTGGTATGAAGTTAGTTAGTCGAGCGCGGGGGCGCGCGGGCGATACGTTGGCAAGTTTACTTCACATTTTAATGTTTCTCTGTGTGTTTAGCTTAAGCGAATGAATATTGCGAGTTGAAAATTTATGCTTTTATAAAGATTTTTAGTGAAAATGGAGGATAATAGTGTTTGTTCCTTGTGATTAATTGAAGTGTGTTAAAGTGCTAATCGGCGAGGAAAAGGTAGAATCTTTAAACTTTGTTGAGAAAGGGCAGCTCATATCCTCGCTCAATTATTGCAATTGAAAAACAGTAATTGGCACAATTAAATCGTTCACCAACATTTTACGCGGATCAAATCTTTCCTTAAGAAAGAGAGACGATTCGATTTAGTATATAAATAATTTGTTTTTGATGTGAAACATCTATAGCCGAGGAGTAAAACTGATCGTTGGCGTGGCGACGCTTATATTAGACATGACGTTAATGGTTAAATTTATTTATTTGTTAAAGTTATTTGTTAATTTTTTTTAACAAACGTTCTATTGACGTCATTCGTCACGCTATATGACGCCACCGCTTTTTGAGGAAACCAATACTTTAACTATAATATGTTAATAGTCGTGGGGGCTATACTACATTACAAAACATTTTGATGATATAAAATTTTATTAATAACGGTACTTTTTAATATTATATAGTATATACATTTTTAGTAGAACACTAATTATCTCGAATTTAGTACCAATTTAAAAAAATCATAACTTTCTAAAAGAATTTTTTTTGTGTACGCGCAGCCAGCGGGACCGTTTGGAGGAGATAATTCGCGCGCTGACGCCAGCGCGCAGCAGCGTGGGCGAGGCGATGGCGTGGTGCCTGGAGCACGCGGAGGCGGCCGGCGAGGTGGCGCAGTGCCTGAGCGAGGCGCTAGCCGGCGAGAGCACCGCGCCCGCGCGTCGCGTGGCGCGCCTCTACCTGCTGTCCGACATCCTGCACAACGCACAGGCCAAGCTCACCAATGCTAGCGCCTACCGCAACGCGTACGTACCCGCACACCGCACCTCCACACCTCCACCTGCTGTCCGACATCCTGCACAACGCACAGGCCAAGCTCACCAATGCTAGCGCCTACCGCAACGCGTACGTACCCGCGCACCGCACCTCCACACCTCCACCTGCTGTCCGACATCCTGCACAACGCACAGGACAAGCTCACCAACGCTAGCGCCTACCGCAACGCGTACGTACCCGCACACCGCACCTCCACACCTCCACCTGAACTCCGACATCCTGCACAACGCACAGGACAAGCTCACCAACGCTAGCGCCTACCGCAACGCGTACGTGCCCACACACCGCATCTCCACACCTCCACCTGCTGTCCGACATCCTGCACAACGCACAGGCCAAGCTCACCAACGCTAGCGCCTACCGTAACGCGTACGTACCCGCGCATCGCACATCCACACCACCTGCTGTCCGACATCCTGCACAACGCACAGGCCAAGCTCACCAACGCTAGCGCCTACCGCAACGCGTACGTACCCGCGCACCGCACGTCCACACCTCCACCTGCTGTCCGACATCCTGCACAACGCACAGGCCAAGCCTACCAACGCCAGCGCCTGACGCAACGCGTACGTACCCGCGAACAAGCACCTCCACACCTCCACCTGCTCTCCGACATCCTGCACAACGCACAGGCCAAGCTCACCAACGCCAGCGCCTGACGCAACGCGTACGTACCCGCGAACACGCACCTCCACACCTCCACCTGCTGTCCGACATCCTGCACAACGCATAGGCCAAGCTCACCAACGCCAGCGCCTGACCCAACGCGTACGTACCCGCGAACACGACACCTCCACCTGCTGTCCGACATCCTGTACAACGCACAGGCCAAGCTCACCAACGCCAGCGCTTGACGCAACACGTACGTACCCGCGCACATGCACCTCCACCTGCTGTCCGACATCCTGCACAACGCACAGGCCAAGCTCACCAACGCCAGCGCTTGTCGCAACACGTACGTACCCGCGCACATGCACCTCCACCTGCTGTCCGACATCCTGCACAACGCACAGGCCAAGCTCACCAACGCCAGCGCTTGACGCAACACGTACGTACCCGCGCACACGCACCTCCACCTGCTGTCCGACATCCTGCACAACGCACAGGCCAAGCTCACCAACGCCAGCGCTTGACGCAACGCGTACGTACCTGCGTACCGCACATCCACACCTCCACCTGCTGTCAGACATCCTGCACAACGCACAGGCCAAGCTCACCAACGCCAGCGCCTGACGCAACGCGTACGTACCTGCGTACCGCACCTCCACACCTCCACCTGCTGTCCGACATCCTGCACAACGCACAGGCCAAGCTCACCAACTCTCACAACCGCCACGCGTACGTAATGTTGTGGATGCCTTCATTTCCTATTTTTTTTTAAATTGAATATGAATTACATTCGAGCACAAAGTCCACCTGATAATAAGTGTATACTGCGATCCATAGACATCTACATTTATCGGAGATTAAGATTTATAATGCAGATGCGTTATCATCCCTGAGGACTAAGATGGAATGCCTCGTTTCCAGTATAAAGGGTTTTTGGTTCTCTCACTCACCATACTAAACACAGCAACATCAAGCTCATTCCTATTATACAACATGTAACATAATTAACGCACTTTAAGAAAGTAGTTTGTTCATAATCGTTTGCTGAATCGATTCCTATCATTTTTAATATAGGTAATTTCTTATCCCAAAAATAATTAAAACTACGTAAATTACAGTCACACTAAATCTGTACAGTCAGTCAAACAAACTGAAATGGACCGTAACTTAAGAGGGCATATGCGTTTCGCGTCGAAAACTACATGTTTTATGGTTTTTCCAAAGGCGATATCGTAACGACGTGAGGAGATTATTTGCTGAAAATTAGGGCTTTAGAAAGATGAAGTCTTTATTTAGTACATAGCAATGCAAAATCATAGTTTTTAATGACGGTTTTTTAGGGCGAAGACAATCCCTTCACTGTGTTTTACGAAAATATGCATCAGAGTTATCTTTCAGGTTGAATACAACCATTATTATAAGCTAAAATACTTTATTTTAAGCGTTATTATAATGAAATATATAGTCTTTTAGGGTATAGCAAAACCTAAATTAAAAAAATACCAACTAATAAACTTTTTTTTTCTTTTTTTATTTTATCCCCCAACAAAATCATAAAAAAAATATAAATCCTAATAACGATAATATTTCGATTTAATATTATAAAATAATATTATAAAATCACCAAAACTGTCTACTTCAATGTAATTTTTTCCATGTATTTGCTTATAAACATATCTATTTTAATTATTTTATCAAAATACATGTAATGTTAAATATCCAAAAAAAATTTTAGCATGTTTTATTTTGTCAATTATTTTATATAATTATTTTAAAAATACTATAAAACATCATGCGCAGACACAGTTCGATTCAGTACGCTCCGGGTAATCCCAACGACAGGACGTAATACTTTTTCTCACCGACACCGCGCGATCGCGTTGATACACCGATAGGGCTATACTGCACCATACAATAACTAGATACCTATAGCACCATCGAGCATTTTAAACGATTCACTTTTATAAGCGATATTTTTGGTAGTAAGTAATTTTGAAATATGTTTATGATTGTAATATTTAAATATTAAATGATGGTGGCAAATTTTCATTTCATACATATTTTTTTTAGAAATGAGTAATTGAACGTAAGCAATTCGGATCAAGTAAAAATACAAAATCGTTGGCTTTCACCTTTGGCTCCGTGGCGGAGTGACTTGGTAATGATTTGTAGCGCTAAGCGCCGCAGGTTCGAATCCCACATGGAACAAAAATTTGTATTACCTACAAATAATTGTTCCAGGTCTGGATGTTTGTCCTTATGAAATGAATGTATTTAAATTGCCCCAACGATGTATGTACTTAGGAAAAATTCCTAGTGTGGAGATAACGTTATGATTAAACAAAGACATGCCATCAAAAACATAACTTGTAAGATAACCAAGTCTCGCAATGATGATACGGCCGTGCCGCTGTTTTGGTCTACATGGCGGGGGCACTACCGTGCCCTCAGATATAAAACATATGAGCCGTGCTTGAGTTGAGTAGCTCAATGGCGTAGTGCTCGCCGTAAACGCGAACAATCCGGGCTCGATCCCCGCTAGTGTTGCCAGGTGTCCCGATTTGCGCGGGACTCCCATCAAGGTCTAGTACACGTCCGATTCATCAATGAAATGTCCCGATTTTCACTAACCTTCTTATTCTATACTTTAATCCATAATTTTGACAGCAAAAATGATTATATCTGTTAGCTACTACCACATTAAAATATTTTTACTACGACATTGTCTCACCAGTCGAAAAAAAACCACAAAAGTTTTAAACAGAATTATATTAAAATGAGTGATTTGAAAAATTCAGGGACTGCAAAAAAAAAAGTAGTTCAAAAATGTTTTAATTTGCCTAAAATGAAAAAAATTCAGTTTTTACGATGTTTGGATGAAAAGTTATTCGTTCATGAGATCAGACTCGAATAATAATTATAAAGCACAAAAGTAAAGTTACAGTCACAATTTCTCGCATTACTCGCATTTTTACAGCATCTTCTTCATCTTCGCATATTTACAGTTAGCGTTGACCATCTGAGCTACCACGGCTCTCAATAAAGCACAAAAGGCTACAAAGAAACCTATATTTTGTAGTCATTTCTAGTTGTCCGGATATGAAAACCAAATCCCCGATTATTTTTACCTTCCGTCCCGAAATTTTACTTGCTAGACCTGGCAACACTAATTAATCCCCGCCGACACTGATGAAATTGTTAGTTTGATGAATTATGTTTACATTATGAAACAGAATAAAAGTTTATCAAATGATATATATTTTATACAATACATATTTTTCAATTAGAACATATACATATTATAATATACTCAATAGGGTGAAAATGTAAAGCCGACTTCAATTTACTAAAAGAAACTAAAACAATTTCCACATATTAGCCTCCGATTTCTATACACTATATAAGTAAGCCATTATATGGAAATTATTTTTTTATTATTTTAGTTCCAACAGTATCAAAGAAGGTATATAATCAAAGATCAAAGTGATTCGTAGTCGTCGTTAGGCAACTATTATAGCCTCACGCTCGCCCTGACACGCACACAGAGATAACATTGTAGTGTGCGTCATTATTACGCCGATCCAAAGCGATCGCGTAGATTTCGACTTGGACATATTTGAATATGCGCTCTTAAGGCAATAAGACTTTTAAGAGTGCAGTTTTATTTGTATTATTACTAATTCTGTCATTCAATAAAAATAAAGAAAAATTAACTTTATTTCAAGCACGTTAAAGCACTTTGCGTTCGTGAATTTGTACTGTGACCACAACATTCTTCGGGAATTAGTATAACTAATTTTATAAATAATCAGTGCATAAAAATGTTTAACTAAAAATTCAGTGTATGTATTATGATTATAACATAATATACTAATTGGGGTGTCTGAGGGTGTGCGTTAATTACGTTACATATTGTATATAGCTTAACATTGTAGAACCATTCATGCAGATTCTTTATCGAAGATAGTTGTAGTTATCTATAGGCAACAGCATTCACTTACCATGAGGTGGACTGTGTGCTTGTTTATCACCTATATTGTAAAAAATAATGTATTGTACTAAAATAAGCCGGGTGTGCGTGGGTGCGTGCGCAGGTTTCAGCAGCGGCTGGCGGACATCATGCGGCACGCGCACGCGGCCTGGGCGCGCATGAGCTCGCGGCTGCAGCAGGAGGGCTTCCGCGCGCGCGTCACGCGCATCCTGCAGGCCTGGGCCGACTGGGCCGTCTATCCCACCGACTTCTTGCTGCACATCAACGACATCTTCCTTGGACAGGACAAGGTAAACCTTATCACGTCACACTGTCACTGGTCAGATTGACGCCAAAGTTATTGTTTAATTGATTGACTGACGGATTTTAATTCTTTAATTATTTTCACAAAACTGTTATTGACATTATAACCAAGTACTTACCGGTGATTGAATTTCTCATAGGTGCCTTGCTTAGTATTTGAGTATGGCCTAACCTTTTTTTGACAAATGAGTGAAACAAACTTCTTTCACTTAGTAGTAAAGTATCTCTTTTACCAAATTCAGGTGCGTTTACCTTTTTTTAATCGACTTCAAAAAAGGGGGAGGTACTCAATTCAACTATCCTTTTTGTATGTGTATTACATCACAACTTTTTTCTAGTTTAATCGATTGTTTTGATGACTCTTTTTTATTTGAAAACTGATGCTTCTCATATGGTAACATAAAAAATTAAACAAAAACTGACCAGTAGTTTATGAGTTATTCTTAACAATGCGTATTTAATATATTTTATTTATATTGAAATCGGTTGCACAAAAACTTTAATTTCACTACTTGTTTTCTATAACCTTTGTTTATTTTTGTACGTTTTTTAATTGTCAAGACAAAAAGATTGTATTTATTATATCCATAACGGTAATATTTTACAAATCACCAAATTACCACCTGAAAATAGCAGTATAAACTATGAATTAATGCTTGTGTATTTTATATGCTAGAAGACAAAAATGGAGGCGTATTTTACTCTCATTCCATCTTATACTTTAATAGTGACAACGTAACTGAATATTGATGATTTTTGAATTATTTTGATAAATGACGGTGCTAAGTAAGCTACAGCGTCAATTTAACATCGCGTGCTCTATACGGTCTTAGTAAGTGTTGAATTTAGTGTGTGTTGACGCTAGCTAGTGAGTGTATATCGGTGTTTTATTTGCAGGAGGAGAGCGGGGCGGGTGTGGGTGGTGGCGAGGGTGCGGAGGCGGCGGAAGGGTCCTGCGGCGAGGTGGGCGAGGCGGCCGAGGGCGCCGAGGGGGCGGAGGGCGCGCGCTCGCCCGAGTCCTCCGGCTCGTGGGAGGGCGCGCTGGACGGCGCCGCGCTGCGCCGCCTGGCCGCCGCCAGGCACACCAGCGACGACATCGACGGCGTGCCGGGTAACGGATCGCACGCTCGACACTGCACAGCGCATACTATACAACTTATCCTGTGCACTGTACATTACACTGCATGCTACATGTTGCATATTACACCGCCGACTAAAAACTACACAACGCTTATTACATAGTGCAATGCATTTACGACGGAGAATTTTCACAGAATTTACACGCTAATTCAAATAACTTAACTTTAATATCGCGATGGGTATAAGATGATTCATGATCGGTTACCAACCACGCCGCGTGTGCTAATACTATTAACCATTACCACATTATCAATTATTTTAATTTATTATCCTTACGCAATAGAATATTACACCAATTTTCAAATAGTGTTTTAAATGGATTCTAGAGTGCTAATGAACCATTAACGCACACCCTCAGACACCCCAATATTATGTTATAATCATAATACATACACTGAATTTTTAGTTAAACATTTTTATGCACTGATTATAAAATTAGTTATACTAATTCCCGAAGAATGTTGTGGTCACAGTACAAATCCACGAACGCAGACTTAAACGTGCTTGAAATAAAGTTCATTTTTCTTTATTTTTATTGAATGACAGAAATAGTAATAATACAAATAAAACTGCACTCTTAAAAGTCTTATTGCCTTAAGTTACAGACTGTAATTTACGTAGTTTTAATTATTTTTATGATAAAAATGATACGAATCGATTCAGTAAACGATTCTGAACAAACTACTTTCTCAAAGTGCGTTAATTATGTTACATGTTGTATATATATAAATTACGTGTCACGTTGTTTGTCCGCGATGGAATTCTAAACTACTTAACCGATTTTAATCAAATTTGCACACCGTGAGCAGTTTGGTACAACTTGCGAGATAGGATAGTTTTTTTTCCTACAATTTTTTTTTGCGAATTTAAGGATTTTTAATAGGACATGATAAATTGTCGTCGATAAGAGCAGAACAACGTCTGCCTAGCAAGATGTTTTGTATTAACTATCGTTTATACAAAACATCATGAGGTGATAGGTATTGAGTGTCAATGAATACCTTGTGCAAGATACACCTATAGAATCAAGAAGTTTTTAACCCCTCACGCCCCAGCTAAATGGATTAACAGCGCGCGCTTGCTTCACGTGGCGCGGCGTTTCTAAAAATAATCTAACCTTGAATTTGTCGTACATTTATTTTCACTAATAATCATAAATTTCAATATAATACTTGTTTCCGTGTTTTACTATGTTATACTACTAGTTTTAGTACTTTTAATTCATTACAAATAGATTTTAATTGGATTTTCGTAGTTAAAAATGTACGTACCCAGGACAGGACAGCATCTTGAATATCACAATTATTTCCATATATTACTCGAAATTATTTACGTAAAAATAAAAAGATAAAGTATATTCACACAAAGACTTTTATAACAATTTTATAATAAAAGAATATACTAAACACTAATAAAACATTACAAAAATCAACACAATATCACGTCACACGAAATACACATACGAAACGAACATAGATTGTAAATAAAAAACCATTAACTAATTTGTATTGCATTAGAAGGATAGAAAATTTCTCATTGAGCCTATAATGCCAAACTTCTTCATAGACAAGTAGTCTCTAAATATAAGTTTTTATGGGTTAAAGTGCTGTGGGTGGGTGCGGTCTCATAAGACCGCTAGGGATTTGACGGGATATGGCCGCGAGCTCATGCGACCGCTCGGGGGCTGAGAGGGTGAGAGGTTTAGCATCAGTGTACAGTATTAGTACTTACTGCCTTTTACGAATCTGTCTTCCATGATGCCATTTCAATAAAATACGGAATAAAATAAATAATCGTGATGATAACTTGAAAAATTTCGAAATAATATAGCACATTAGTTTGTTTACTATAGAAGTGATGTCACGACGGAATCTAATACTGCAAATAGCGCTTTGGACATTAGTTTGTTTACTATAGAAGTGATGTCACGACGGAATCTAATACTGCAAATAGCGCTTTGGACATTAGTTTATTTACTATAGAAGTGATGTCACGACGGAATCTAATACTGCAAATAGCGCTTTGGACATTAGTTTGTTTACTATAGAAGTGATGTCACGACGGAATCTAATGCTGCAAATAGCGCTTTGGACATTAGTTTGTTTACTATAGAAGTGATGTCACGACGGAATCTAATGCTGCAAATAGCGCTTTGGACATTAGTTTATTTACTATAGAAGTGATGTCACGACGGAATCTAATGCTGCAAATAGCGCTTTGGACATTAGTTTGTTTACTATAGAAGTGATGTCACGACGGAATCTAATACTGCAAATAGCGCTTTGGACATTAGTTTGTTTACTATAGAAGTGATGTCACGACGGAATCTAATGCTGCAAATAGCGCTTTGGACATTAGTTTGTTTACTATAGAAGTGATGTCACGACGGAATCTAATGCTGCAAATAGCGCTTTGGACATTAGTTTATTTACTATAGAAGTGATGTCACGACGGAATCTAATACTGCAAATAGCGCTTTGGACATTAGTTTGTTTACTATAGAAGTGATGTCACGACGGAATCTAATACTGCAAATAGCGCTTTGGACATTAGTTTATTTACTATAGAAGTGATGTCACGACCGAATCTAATACTGCAAATAGCGCTTTGGACATTAGTTTGTTTACTATAGAAGTGATGTCACGACGGAATCTAATACTGCAAATAGCGCTTTGGACATTAGTTTGTTTACTATAGAAGTGATGTCACGACGGAATCTAATACTGCAAATAGCGCTTTGGACATTAGTTTATTTACTATAGAAGTGATGTCACGACGGAATCTAATACTGCAAATAGCGCTTTGGACATTAGTTTGTTTCCTATAGAAGTGATGTCACGACGGAATCTAATGCTGCAAATAGCGCTTTGGACATTAGTTTGTTTACTATAGAAGTGATGTCACGACGGAATCTAATGCTGCAAATAGCGCTTTGGACATTAGTTTGTTTACTATAGAAGTGATGTCACGACGGAATCTAATGCTGCAAATAGCGCTTTGGACATTAGTTTGTTTACTATAGAAGTGATGTCACGACGGAATCTAATACTGCAAATAGCGCTTTGGACATTAGTTTGTTTACTATAGAAGTGATGTCACGACCGAATCTAATGCTGCAAATAGCGCTTTGGACATTAGTTTGTTTACTATAGAAGTGATGTCACGACGGAATCTAATACTGCAAATAGCGCTTTGGACATTAGTTTGTTTACTATAGAAGTGATGTCACGACGGAATCTAATGCTGCAAATAGCGCTTTGGACATTAGTTTGTTTACTATAGAAGTGATGTCACGACGGAATCTAATACTGCAAATAGCGCTTTGGACATTAGTTTGTTTACTATAGAAGTGATGTCACGACGGAATCTAATGCTGCAAATAGCGCTTTGGACATTAGTTTGTTTACTATAGAAGTGATGTCACGACCGAATCTAATGCTGCAAATAGCGCTTTGGACATTAGTTTGTTTACTATAGAAGTGATGTCACGACGGAATCTAATACTGCAAATAGCGCTTTGGACATTAGTTTGTTTACTATAGAAGTGATGTCACGACGGAATCTAATGCTGCAAATAGCGCTTTGGACATTAGTTTGTTTACTATAGAAGTGATGTCACGACCGAATCTAATGCTGCAAATAGCGCTTTGGACATTAGTTTGTTTACTATAGAAGTGATGTCACGACGGAATCTAATGCTGCAAATAGCGCTTTGGACATTAGTTTGTTTACTATAGAAGTGATGTCACGACGGAATCTAATACTGCAAATAGCGCTTTGGACATTAGTTTGTTTACTATAGAAGTGATGTCACGACGGAATCTAATGCTGCAAATAGCGCTTTGGACATTAGTTTGTTTACTATAGAAGTGATGTCACGACGGAATCTAATACTGCAAATAGCGCTTTGGACATTAGTTTATTTACTATAGAAGTGATGTCACGACGGAATCTAATACTGCAAATAGCGCTTTGGACATTAGTTTGTTTACTATAGAAGTGATGTCACGACGGAATCTAATGCTGCAAATAGCGCTTTGGACATTAGTTTGTTTACTATAGAAGTGATGTCACGACGGAATCTAATACTGCAAATAGCGCTTTGGACATTAGTTTGTTTACTATAGAAGTGATGTCACGACGGAATCTAATGCTGCAAATAGCGCTTTGGACATTAGTTTATTTACTATAGAAGTGATGTCACGACGGAATCTAATACTGCAAATAGCGCTTTGGACATTAGTTTGTTTACTATAGAAGTGATGTCACGACGGAATCTAATACTGCAAATAGCGCTTTGGACATTAGTTTGTTTACTATAGAAGTGATGTCACGACGGAATCTAATACTGCAAATAGCGCTTTGGACATTAGTTTATTTACTATAGAAGTGATGTCACGACGGAATCTAATACTGCAAATAGCGCTTTGGACATTAGTTTGTTTACTATAGAAGTGATGTCACGACGGAATCTAATGCTGCAAATAGCGCTTTGGACATTAGTTTGTTTACTATAGAAGTGATGTCACGACGGAATCTAATGCTGCAAATAGCGCTTTGGACATTAGTTTGTTTACTATAGAAGTGATGTCACGACGGAATCTAATGCTGCAAATAGCGCTTTGGACATTAGTTTGTTTACTATAGAAGTGATGTCACGACGGAATCTAATACTGCAAATAGCGCTTTGGACATTAGTTTGTTTACTATAGAAGTGATGTCACGACGGAATCTAATACTGCAAATAGCGCTTTGGACATTAGTTTGTTTACTATAGAAGTGATGTCACGACGGAATCTAATGCTGCAAATAGCGCTTTGGACATTAGTTTGTTTACTATAGAAGTGATGTCACGACGGAATCTAATGCTGCAAATAGCGCTTTGGACATTAGTTTGTTTACTATAGAAGTGATGTCACGACGGAATCTAATGCTGCAAATAGCGCTTTGGACATTAGTTTGTTTACTATAGAAGTGATGTCACGACGGAATCTAATGCTGCAAATAGCGCTTTGGACATTAGTTTGTTTACTATAGAAGTGATGTCACGACGGAATCTAATACTGCAAATAGCGCTTTGGACATTAGTTTGTTTACTATAGAAGTGATGTCACGACGGAATCTAATGCTGCAAATAGCGCTTTGGACATTAGTTTGTTTACTATAGAAGTGATGTCACGACGGAATCTAATGCTGCAAATAGCTCTTTGGACATTAGTTTGTTTACTATAGAAGTGATGTCACGACGGAATCTAATACTGCAAATAGCGCTTTGGACATTAGTTTGTTTACTATAGAAGTGATGTCACGACGGAATCTAATGCTGCAAATAGCTCTTTGGACATTAGTTTGTTTACTATAGAAGTGATGTCACGACGGAATCTAATACTGCAAATAGCGCTTTGGACATTAGTTTGTTTACTATAGAAGTGATGTCACGACGGAATCTAATACTGCAAATAGCGCTTTGGACATTAGTTTGTTTACTATAGAAGTGATGTCACGACGGAATCTAATGCTGCAAATAGCGCTTTGGACATTAGTTTGTTTACTATAGAAGTGATGTCACGACGGAATCTAATGCTGCAAATAGCGCTTTGGACATTAGTTTATTTACTATAGAAGTGATGTCACGACGGAATCTAATCCTGCAAATAGCGCTTTGGACATTAGTTTGTTTACTATAGAAGTGATGTCACGACGGAATCTAATTCTGCAAATAGCGCTTTGGACATTAGTTTATTTACTATAGAAGTGATGTCACGACGGAATCTAATGCTGCAAATAGCGCTTTGGACATTAGTTTGTTTATTATAGAAGTGATGTCACGACCGAATCTAATGCTGCAAATAGCGCTTTGGACATTTAAGGCACAGGTCACATACACGTTCATTTTTCCAAAGTTATTATAGATACGTATTTTTATTTTTTACATCGTGCAAAATACCCTATTATAACCGAAAAATTGGGTCTGGACCAGCTACCTATGAGATTTTACATATATTCATACTTATTTGACATGTTGTATATTACACACATATCTGCACATTAAGTCAATCCAGACAAAAGATTCAATAAATACGTACAGAATAATATACATACATACTTTTGTTCAATTATTATTTACATAGTTACTGATATGCCAACTATTGCTTGTTCACTTACTATTCAGTCGACATTTACTTTTGGTCTATTGTAATTATTCGATTAGTGTGTATTGACTTGTGATCATAATTTTTTTATGAAATTCATCCCTTGCCATTAGGTCACTGGTGAACTAATTAGTGTCATTTTTTGTATGTATGTTTGATATTCTTAGTGGAGGAGGACATCGACGGCATACCGCTGGAGGCGGAGGCGGATGTGGAGGCGGAAGCGGAGGCAGAGGAGGGGCGGGGCGCGAGCGAGCGCGTGGTGGCCGGCTTCGTGCCGTCGCGCTGGGAGAGCGTGGAGCCGGCCGCCGAGGCGGACGTAGACGAGGAGCCGCCGCCCCCGCCGCCGCCGCCCGCCGCTGCGCTCACGCCCACGCACAACGAAAGGTTCTATTAACTTACTAAGGAATTTTATTCACTCATTTTTTCTGCTGTTTGTCTGTTCAGTAAAAATTTTGCAATCAATTTTAAATTAATTTTCGGTTGAGATAGAAAGTCAAAATTTCATATATAGTGATAAGACCAAAGAGTTCTATGTACACTACTAAACGGGCGCTACGGTACTAATACTTTGTGCACTAAATTACGCTCCATTCTCCATAACTTATTTAATGCGAGCAGACACGTAGACTAGTTTTTTGTTTTGTAAACCGTGAACGTTATTTTCGATAATCAAACATGAACTTTGTTTAATATGACTAAGAAAACGCTGTCATTATTTATGTACGCTCTTTGTTGCAATTTATTAAGTTAAGATTAAGTATGTTAATCGTCCTGCCATTTTCAAAGAAGCTACAGATTGTCGGTCAAATTATAGGCCAATTTCACTTCTTAGTACTCTGTCAAAGATATTGGAAAATGTCGTGAATAAACGATTAATACGGTACCTTAAAATAAATAATTTTATTGATAATAATCAATTTGGGTTTCGTTCGGGCAGGTCAACAGAAGATTAAGATTAACATCTCTGGTATCAAAATATCTTAACTGTGGTAAAAAATGTGTAGGTGTTTTCTTGGACTTATAAAAAGCTTTTGATACAGTGTCGATTTCTATATTGCTCAACCGTTTGGAAAACATGGGTATAAGAGGCGTTGTCTACAACTGGTTTAGGGACTATCTATCTGATAGACGACAACGAGTCAGGATTGACAAGTATACAAGCACCACTTCCTCTTGCTCTTACGGTGTACCACAGGGGAGTACCTTAGGACCTTTGCTCTTTCTTATTTATGTGAATGAATTATGTAAAATCAATATCAAAAATTTAAAAAAAATTTAAAATTAACTATGTTTGCTGACGATGTTGCATTGATTTTGCATGGTGACACTTGGAATAAAGTAGAAAAATTCACAGAAAATGGTCTGAGATTAGTGACTAGTTGGCTTGAAGACAATTTACTATCACTTAATGTTTCTAAGACCAAATACTTATGTTTCGTTAAGACTAATGCTACTCTTCCAACTAACAATGTAGTAATTTAACCAAAAATGGTTTTATGAGATATCTAGGAGTGACAATAAAATAACTTGGGATGCCCATACTGATGCAGTAGCTAATAAACTAAGAAAACACATTTATATATTTAATAGTTTACGAACTGTAACCAAGTGCAAATTACTTATCAAAACATACAAAGCATTGGGAGAGTGTCTCTGTTCTGACTGCATTTGTTCCTGGGGCGGAGCCGCTAAAAACTTTAAAATTTTAATAAGGGTTGAACGCGCACAAAGAGGTATTTTAAAAGTCATTTTTCGTCTACCATTTCGCCAACCAACAGTGTCTGTGTATGACATAGCGAAAGTGTTATCCGCAAAACTTTTATTTTTCAAAGTTTAAGGAGATATCATCGCGTCACTGTCCCTAAACTAATACGAAGCAATAAAAGAAAATAACGATGCCCTGTCCAAAACCCAATAGTGCTGTGTTTAGAAGACATTTTGACTTTTTAGCCCCTAGGCTATATAACAAACTTAACAGATGTCATAACATAAGATCACTAAATAACTTTGAAGTGAAAAGCAAAATTACAGACTGGCTGAAATGTGACGGCGAACTCTACTCCTGGATGCGACTATGGGTAATTTAGCCACGACATCTGTGATCATCAAAGGCCTTTTGGCCGAATTGACTGTATACTTCCTGTGTGTGTGTCTGAACGAATACATCCCTATTCTCATCCTATAATATATAATAATTTCTCATCCTAATCGGCATTTTTATTCATCCCGTAACGTTATATATTCTATAATATAAAACGCATGATATTAAATTAGATTCTTAATCGGCTACATTTTTATTAAGATATACATTATAATTGTACTTGCCCCTCTCCTTTTTATCATTTATATAAATAACTTTCCAAATTGTACAAGACACCAAATGTCGTTATTTGCCGATGACAGCACTGTAATTTACAACAGTAATAACTATGATGAAATAGAAGGTGAAATTAATAAGAGTCTTATATCAATTATTGACTGGTTGAAAGAAAACAACCTAATAATTAATCTGGACAAAACGAAAATAATGACATTTCAAATTAAAAAAAAAAACACCTCAATAAATCTACACATCAAATATATGGGTCAAGACGTAAAAGAAACAAAGGTTAAAAATTTTTTGGGACTACTTATAGAAAATGATATGTCGTGGAAAACTCAAATTGATTATATTTGTAAAAAATTGCACCAATTAGCATACGTTCTTTATATGTTGGGAAAAATTGCAAACCAGAGAGCACTATTAGCAGCGTACCATGGCTATGTCGCCTCAATCCTGAGATATGGCGTTATATTTTGGGGAAATGCACCTAACATTCGCGAAGTATTCATCGCACAAAAAAAATGTCTACGTGCGATCTGTAGTTTAAAAAGCACAAACACATGCAAGCAGCATTTTCAAAAATTAAAAGTTCTAACATTTCCCTCATTATATATTTATGAAACAAGCATTTTTGTAAAACGTAATATTAACATGTATAAGTTCGTGGAAAGTCAACGTCGCTCAGATAAGCTTCATTTAGTATCAAATAGAACTGTTTTGTTACACAAGAGTATATATGCAATGGCACCAAAAGTATATAACGAAATACCTAAATACATTAGAGATTGTGACAACATTAATCTTTATAAACGTAAACTTTTTGATCTACTAAATGAAAAAGCATATTATTCTTTAGATGAATTCCTTAGCGACACATTTTAACATTAAAATACTACATTGAATATATAGACAATTAGACAAAATGATGATAATTATTATATGTTATATTATACTATACCTTTATTATCTTTAAAATTTTCTTATATTAATACATTATTTCAATTAAAAACTGACATCAGAAGAGAAGAAATTATATTATGAAAATATTAAGCAATTATTATTGTATACTCGTATTTTGTATGCCTACTGGCGGGACATAGAGAACCTACCTTGTATTTTACTATGACATATATTGAGATCTGTAAAATAACCTATGTTCACAAAATAAACTGATTTGATTTGATTAATTTTCTATCCATCGAATGTCGCACGCTTACTTTCTGATGGATAAAAATGCGTAGAAAGCGTGTAGAAAGGAGCGCTAAAGCCTTTTAAAGTTAGAAAACCCCGTCTTAAGTATGAAGTGTGTGTATACTAATGTGTGTGGCCGGAAATCCTCGGCTTACGTGTGCGTGTGTTGATGTGTGTATGCATGCGTGCAGCGCGGAGTCTCCTCGCGGCGAGGAGCCGGCGCTGTCGCGCGCGGTGCTGCGCGACATCGAGGTGCGCGTGCTGCGCTACGCGGACGAGCTGGAGGCGGGCGCGCGCGCACGCAAGCCCGCGCTCACTGCGCAGCAGCAGATACACCACTACCGTCGCAAGCTCATCAAGAAGGTACGGCTTTTGATATTTTATTGCCGCTCTGCCTACCAGGCTTTCGGCCATACACTATTACTGTCATGTGTAAGTTAATTTAAAAAAAAAAACAACCCAACTGCGGTGTTCATTTATTGTAAGTGATTCATTTAAGACTTTCGCTCAGAGTTAGCGTACCCATCTCGATAAACTTGAAAATTAAGCTATTATTTATATAAAATTTCATCCAAATTGAAATATATAAATATAATATATAAATGTATTTAATATAAGAATTGTTCACTTAACGTATTTAAGGTTATTATCATCCATAAATTCTTTAATATTATAATAACCCTTTTTATACAAACTTAGTTAATAAAGTTTTTGTACTTTGTGCAGGTCAAATTTTGTATAATTTTGTTGTAAAAGCGTATACATCGCTCCAAGAATAAATTACTGACACGGTGAAGTCGAGTAACTGGTACAGGCTTTGAGGTGATTTGTCTTGATTCTCAGATGTGACAACGCATAAGTTTTCACATCTAAGAATCAACCTTTTTTGCTGACAGTTGATTGGACATATCCATTGGCTCCAGTTGACATTTACCATCAGATGGGCTGTATGTTTCTTTGTCACTTAACTTATATTAAAAAAAAAAACATTAGGCGTTGATAGAGACAACAAACCTGGTTAAGTGTAGTTTGAAGTGGATTTTGATACGTAAAAGTTACGCGATTTTGCATTTAGAATGTAAAATATTAGAGAGAATATTCCGTTTTAGAAACTTAACATACAGTCGCAGTTGACTAGCTGTTACCCTAAGCAGTTGCCGTAACCTCCCAAAAACACAGCAATGTTCATGACAATATTGTGGGGAAGTTTTAGAACAAATTATTATAAAGTGTAATTTTCTACAACTTGACGCTGGCAAAAGGACGACTATTCGAGTCAATTACCTAAGTAAAAAATCGTTTGCAGGCAGCTAAGGAAGCGAAGGAGGCGGCCGCACTGGAGGAGGCGCGCGAGTCGCCCGAGCCGCGCCGCCGCTCGCCCGCCGACGACGACGCGTACTCGTGAGTGTCGCATCATTCATCACCATCCTTACAATCCTTCACAAGTTCACTGCGAGCGACCTGCATCCACCGACTTTCAGCGACTCTTACCAGTTTGTAAATCTATCTAGTGGGGTCGCAAATCATTTAGCTTACCAGTACTGCCCACTGGACCGGTTCTTTAAACTATATAGGCTGCCCTTCAATTCAGTTCAGTTTTATTGGTTGGTTCTATGATGAATACTCCGTTCACGTCATATGTAGTACTGGATCTTAAATTAAATTAAGTTGCCGAATTTCGGTAAGACGCGCGTCGCTTCGGTTTATATCCGAGATTATCAGTAATAAACCGGATTTATGCTGAATGTTTTATTTTTTTTGCATTGTAAAATCCAATTTCTGATGTTAATCATGATCATCATCATTATTACGGCCCTTGATGATAATAAAAATCAGTAATATTTTACTGTTTGATGAATACGATCTTCACCTGACACTCGAATTCAGAAATCCACGGCTTGTAAAGCCATTGACGGCGTAGATATCATGTAGCTAAGTTTTATTAAAAAAATAACGTTGTTTTTAGGATATCATCTAAGAAGTCAAAGAAGTCCAGGGAGCCATCGCTGTCGCCGCCACCAAAACGCTCTCGTCACATGTATGTCTTATAATGTTTTCATTTTAATCGCTTTATGATAAGAGTAGGACTAAACTAGCGTCCTTTGTTCTATATCACGACTTTGTTGAGGCTGGTCATAGTGAAGGACCACGACTCGGATCCATATATCATTAATAACAACACACACTGGTTGTAAAGTTTTGTTTTCCAGTTTATAGCAATACAGCTCACATTTCACCTGTTGTGATGCTGTTCTCCACCTATTGATTAAAAATCAAAATGCAGATGTATTGTCACCCCTGAGGACTATGATGGAATGCTTCGTTTCCACGTATAACAAGGCTCTACCACGTAAATATTAGAGATGGGCTGATTATAGATTTTTCAGAATACGAATATTTGGCTGAAAGTTCGGTAAAACTTTTACCAAACCGAATATTCGGCCGAATCGGAAATAATTCGGCGGGATCACCTCGCTACTTGAGAAGATCACTCGGAAACTTGTTGCCGTAAAGCGCGCGGAATTAGCGCCGGACCCTGCCCCTCACTCATCATTTAGTACTGAGCAAATTCCTGGCACATGCTTATACTTTAACTATTATTTTGAGAAAAAAGTATTTCGTTGTGATATTCTTATATTTGATAAAAATGGGTGGCAGGAGTACTACTATTTGGACTTATTTAAGAGAAACTGACGATCAAAGTAAAGTGAAAAATAACTAATGCAATGTTTCTTTGTTTGATTCCAAAAATATTTTATCAAGCTTCTATTTGCTATAATTGGAAATAAATCTACAGTGCCTCAAAAATATAAGGCTACGGTCTCCTATTAAATGCTATACGCGACGTCCGACTTCAGCGTAAACGTTCCGATCGGCGTCTGAACGCCAGGCACAGCGTCAGCGGTCAATACATAATATTAGCAACGGACGACGTCTAGACTTTCGATCAAACAACAGTAAGTAGCCGACAGTGCATAAAAGCATAAAATGGATATAAATTCAACACTTTTGGCGGCGCTTGTGTTACTTGAAGAAGAGGCACAAGACGACCGTATACGAAGAAAAAATAAAGGCAACAAGGCACCGATTATTTATGAAGAGAAATGAGGAAGGATGTTTCCAGCTATTGATAATGAAACACTTAAAAGACAGCGATTCTAAATTTACTGAATATTTTCGTATTAATCAAGAACAATTTAAACATATTGTAGAGCTTGTGCAGGAGTATGTAATAAAAGTGCCATCAAAAAGGCATCCTAAGCCCATATCGGTTGAAGAAAAAGTCTTTATTAAATTTGGCCACTTTGTACTGACGCTAGACACGACGTTCACGCTGCAATGGTTCAAAATAACTAGAGACGCAGCGCAAAGCGTCTTACGCCGCCTACGACGTCCATACGCCGACGTCAGCGTGTAAAAGAGACCACAACAGTACATTTCTATAGTAAGCATTGTAACGCGACGTACGGCGTGACGCTGTAAGCGGCCGACGGCGTTTATAGGAGACCACCGCCTAACGCTATGCAAGTAGATTTAATCCATAAATAAAATACACTTTCAACATTAAAATTATGAAAGACATGGCATTACTCAATTCGTATATTTCAATACAGTGGACACTTTGAGTACCGCTTTAACGAATGTTCGGTGATTTAGCCGAATATTCGGCTAAATACGAATATTCGAAAAAGCTGCCGAATGCCGAATATGAAACGAATATTCGGACTACTCTAATAAATATGGCTTAACCACCTATTTGATTACATACTTTTTATACGTGGTAGAGCCATGCTGCAGTTATACTAGTAGTATAGTTGTAGCACGAATGGGTCGGCTCACGTTCCATTCGTGCTACAACTATACTACTAGTATAACTGCAGCATGGGATGCGATGCAACCGGGGAAGGATCACGTTCTCACAGAATACTAACGTAAAATAGCAGCTTATTGCTGTTGTGTTTCGTATGGTGAGTGTAGAGAACCGGAGACCGGGAAACCGGGTAGCAACGCATTGCATTTTGATTCGTAATCAAGGATAGATGTAGACGTCTATGGGCCACAGCAACCACTTACCATCAGGTGGACTGTGTGCCCGTTTGTCACCATATCCTATAAAAAATACTACTTTATTACATTAATTATTTTTATAAATATTATCTTATTATTTTCCAGCGATAGAAAATCACGGTCCCGGTCTCGCTCGCGTGAAAGAGAAAGAGAACGCGATCGGTCCCGTGAGCGTGAGCGAGAACGAGAACGAGAACGTGAAAGGGAAAGAGAAAGGGAAAGGGAGCGGGAGAGAGAAAGAGAGCGCGAGAGAGACAGACGGCGTCGCTCGCCAGCCACACCTCCCGGCCACCATCACAGAAAACACAGCAAACACGCCAAATATAAGTACTGACGTTGTATTGGGAATTTTATTAAGTGTAAAATATATCAGTAACTTTCTAATTTGTGTTTCATTATTGTTAGTTACACTCCAAAACACTAACTTTGAAAAAAGTTATATGAAACCAGTACTTAAAAAACATACTTAAGGCATCTTATACATGTCTTCTGGGTGACCAATGCATCTGTTATGCGCTGCACTTGCCAAATGAGGCTAATAACCTGATCCTCATCAGAATTTCGCCAGTTGGGGCCGAAGCGAACTTATTTATCAGACAGATGCGTGACCATCTGTGTGAGAACCGCAACTTTTCAATGATGACAATCATCAATGAAAAGCTGCGGTTTAAATGTAAAAAAAACTGTTTCTAGTGCATGTATATAGTGCAGGCATATACATAGAAAAATGCCGTGTGATGTCTACTTTATCTTTTATACATTTTTAACTTTTAGGTATATCTGTTTGGTTAATCCATTTACTAATTTAATTAATACAAAAAATAACTTATATTTGAGAAATGAATACCTCGTTGGTCTAGCGGTTGTAGTAGTGCGATTACTGACCATGAGGTTATGGGTTTGAATCCCTGGTCGGGCCAAAAAATCGATTATTGAGTTTTTCCATCAAGAAATTCTCAGCAGCTGCCCGGATAATGAGGTTGGCGGTGTCTCACCCCCGTGCCTCGGAAAGCACGTAAAGCCGTTAGTCCTTGCGCCTGATCTCTCTCCGGTCGTGTGGGTTTACCGTTCCATTGGATTATGAGAGTGAGGGAATAGAGTGCACCTGTGCTTGTGCACGTGGGCACGTGGGCTCTTAGGCACTGTAAATCTGTCCTGCGCCGATGGCTAGTCTCCGTTGAAGCAAGCCTCCGTGACCAAAAATCGGTCTGGAGGACATTGTTTTAGAAATAACCATTAAGCTTTACACTTTTCTAACAATTTAAGTTCCCCTTCGTGAGGTCTACCAAATATCACATATGAACAAATTGTTTCGGGCCGGACTGGTGACAGGAAAAAATGTGATGCATTAAGTGTGATAAAATACACACGATTTTGAATAATCTTGAAAACTTAAAATATGTGATTGATAAAAGGATATGAAAATATAAAGAAAGAAAGAGAAAATAGACAAAGTTACCTAACCTGTTGAAAGCGGTCTGATCTTCCTCTTACGACCCCCGATCAAAGATCAACCAATTATTGACCTATCTTTCACAGACCAATACACCACACCACGCTAAGTTCGGGGTGGGCGTGACCCCAGAGGAAGACGTTCGATTCCGGTCACAAGCCCGTTTTCTTAAAAGAAACAGCGGGCTACTAATGTTCCGGGTCTTGACGCTTATCGTATGCGCTTATGTGGACTATATCTTCTTTACTATTAGTGTGAACACTGAAGAATTTTGAAATAAAACAGTAATTTCTTCAATAAAATTCCCATTGGAAATGTGATACTGAACTGTCCTTACTTTTTCTTTTTCATTCTTGATTATATTTCCTTTTCCTAAAACTGTCAGTCCTGAACGAATTGCAAATTTAGCGACTTACGAGGGCAGGTCAATAAGTTCGCGAAATGGAGGGGTTGGCGAAGGAAGGGGGATTTTTTTCAACCGTCACTATTTATCGATTTAATACGACTATAAATACCAAGTTTCAGCTAGATCGGTTGATTAACCTTTGAAACATCACAGGATAAAAAAATTAATCGGGAAGTGAATACTAACTATGGAGAAAATTAAGTTTCGTGCCGTGATTAAGTTCCACACTTAGCATGGAAAAACGCCACATCTCATTATAGAAGAGATGCCATCTGTTGATTATGTCAAAAAACGATGATTTATAAGTGGCCTTTTCAAGCAAGGCAGAAACTCAATTGAAGACGATCAGCGCTAAGGCTACCGATTGAGGCAACTTCCTCAGATATTGTCGAATAAGTGAAAAAATTCAATAAACTTTGAAATAACAGATAGCAGAAATGACTGTGGAAACATCTATGACCATTTAATACATTCTCCATGACCATCCTGGCATGCCTAAGGTCACTCCAAGATGGGTGCCAAGAATGCTAACACCTCTTTAAAAACAGCTGCGGTCGAGTGTTCGCGCGAGTTTTAAGACCAGTCTAGTGGAGAACAGGGACGAAATTATAAACCGAATTTTGAAGTCCATGCAGTGGCATAAGCAGACGCAGCTCCGTCTAAGAAGTTCAAGGTGTCACTGGCTTCAGTTTTCTAAGATTCAGAGGTGATTTCATTGATCGATTGTAGTCAAAGGTGTCAATATCACGAAAAACATCTATACTACACTTTTAGAAAAATTAAAGGATGCTATTAAAGAAAAAATAAGGGGAAAGTTGTTTTGAGATGTGCTCCATTTGCACTAAAAAGCACCCGTTCAGAAGAGTCATGTTGTGATGGCTTCCTTTCACAAGTGCAGCTTCGACATTTTAAACCATCCTTAGTCTAGATCAGGCCCCTTCTGATTATTATTTGTTCCCAAATAAGAAAAACAAGCTTCGGAAAAAGAAATTTACAGATGACAAAGAAATTAAGTCGCAATTAGGTACTGCCAATTTGAGGGCCATGACTAAACATTTTTTTTTGAAGGTATATATAAGTTATTTGTACAGTTTGAGAATTATATTAGCGTTAATAGAGAATATATCAAAAAGGGTAAATAATTTCATGTTTAATATCACCCCTTTCCCTTTCATTCCACGAACTTTTTGACCTCCCCGCGTACTCCGTACTCCGTAAGCTAAACCGTAACAAGTACCGTGCGCTATGCGCAATTTCTATCTAAGCTAGCTGCTAATTGTCACTATCACATTTCCATTTATTACCCAATATCTTTATTGCCCATAATAATATCATCTTCAATTAAGTTTCACATAAAACACGACAAAGACACATATAATTAAAACATTAGCATCACAAAAGAATAATAAAACATTAAAAAACATTTTTATAAGCTATTTCTTAGAGTCATAAATTTTAAATATCGACTGAAAACTTTAATTAATGTATTTAACAATTCACAATTTAAATCTTTAAACGTTAGATTTGGACATTTCATTTCTTAGATGAATTTACCATTATTTGGACATCATTACAATCATCAGAATTAAATGGTTTTTAAATATTTATTATTTATTACCTTATTATTTTATAAAACCATTCTGAAACGTTTGTTACACAAATTTCTTGTATATATATATATATATATATATATATATATATATATATATATATATATATATATATATATATATATATATAATCGGAATCTCGGAAACAGCTCCAACATAACATTTTATGTCCAGGGGTTTTCGGGGTCAATAAATCGATCTAGCTAGGATTTTTTTTGAAAATGTTGTTTTGTCCGTGTTGTCAGACAATGAAAAACTGCTACAATATAAGAAGGTAAATTTTGACATTTTATAAACGATCATAATAGCTCAAGTGGATATCGGGCCGTCGTGAAAACATAGTGCCCTGGTTGGCGTCCTGTCTTCGGTCTGACTTTTTTGCCTTTTTTTTCAAGTTCCCTGCTTTTGTGAGAAAATCTATTATTTCGAACCCTTTTTTTAGTATTTTTTAAAAATATGAAAATTTAAATTAAACTCATGATTTTTATTCAAATAACCAGTTCAGTTTTTTTTATTATGTCAATAAGATCCAAAAACATTATTCATATTTCATCAGTCGGTAATTTGTATCTAAATATAATTTCCAAAACACACGATTTCCAAAAAAAAAAAGACCGAGGAAAGCTCGGTCTTTCAGGTAATATATATATATATATATATATATATATATATATATATATATATATATATATATATATATATATATATATATATATATTGATGCACAAGGAATGCCTAAACATTAAATAATGAACGCCCGCTATCATAGTCACATTTAAAATGAGACAATACGTGTCAATCTAGATTCGTGGTGGCGGCGAAATAATTGCAACCTTTTTGTTCACGTATTCGCGAACGACACCTCTCCCCTGGCGTATTCATATTGCGACCCGACTCTACCTACATGTTAAAGGCATAGTTGGCTTACAAGGGGGAGTGGATTAGTCAGGGGCCGGATTACCGGGGATCCACTGTATAGGTATCTTTTAATAATTATTTTTCAATCAACAAATACAAAATAGGTGATTTAAATATTACTTAGTACAATGAAATATTTTCGTTTGAATGTTTTATTCCTAAATGATCTATTGTTACACTACAAATACAACCATCGTAATGAAAACACAATTATAGGTCGTTCTATCTTTTATATTGTAAAATCGTGTGATTACGTCAGGTTCGTCCGATTACGCGTGCGCTCTTGTTCCAGTGTTAGTGTTGTCTGTTGTCCACAGAACACTATTACTACTACTTACTTACTTACTTACTATCGGAGCTGTTGTCTATCTAGTATCTACAACGAAGTGCGGGGTGTGGTGCGGTATTTGAATGAGTGCGGGGAGGTGAGAGGACGTTCTGTACTTAGTACTAGTATGTAATATGTATTCTGTGATACTAGTATACCGCGAGGAGATCCCGGCTAATAGAGAATGCCCCGAGGCCCGGTGCAATTAAGCACTCGCAGATAACACGTATACTGTAATTCGTTCGGGACAGCGACCTTTATTATTTATTCTGCGCTTTTACTAAATCCCGCCTTTTAAACATAGTGATGGTACGTATTCCAAAGTTTATATTTATCACAAAGTAAACTAAATTTTTAAGAATAGCTAATGTTATATTTCATCAATAATGTACCTTAAATTATGTATATATTTTATATTTATTTGTCTATATCTTTTATTACCTTTAAACTTTTACAACGTAACCTTTTTAGATTGAACTATCGTGCAATAATACAAGATGGCCGAAATCGTTTTCAAACGTTTAACTATGGACGACGAATTTCTTGTGTGTGACATGTGTGCTAACAATTACATAATGCATTTATTAAAATCTAAAAAGAAGAAACCTAAAATCTATAA